TGCTGTTTTCACAGCTCACAGATAGGGTTTTGCTCACACTAGAGCTGTTCTAAGATTGATGAACTTCACAACTTTATATGACCATCAGCACTTGAAGTACTGATGGTTTGTTATTATTGATCTGTATTCCATAGTCTTGAATGAGATGTGATGGAGCTGCTACTGGTCACTTTCAACCATCTTAAATTTATACCATGAAATTACTGCATTTTATATGAACTGTATAAATTCGCAACATTTTTAAGAAAAGAAACCAACTGAAGTTGGTAAGAACAAAACTCATGTTACTAGGCAGGAAAACGGTGTGTTACATGCTATAGGCTTCTATAGGCTTTCCTTTTCTTAATCACTATCTTGCTTGACACCTGTCTGGTTAAATGATGCCTCACTTGTGCTTGCATATTCACTGCTAACCAAGTATTTTACCTTGTAAAGGTAACCACAAAGGAGGACTACCTTTCCAGCTTTTGGACAAAATTGGAGGAATCACGAAGAGCTCACATTGGATCATCTGGAGGTTCTGCTGATGCTCCTTTCTGGAATTATAGTTCTAATTCCAGATTATTTGAGAATAACACCTCTATATTCTCATTGGGCACTGATGAGAAAGTTGGAGATCCTACCGAAACCCATAATGGTGAAATTTCTTTACACTTATGGGCTCTTTTTTTACTCCAAATTCACTGAGGCTGCATACTTTGATATTTATTCTTTTCTACTGATGCTTCACTTTCTTTATTTAGTTGCACTCTTTTACTGTGAAAAACTAATTTGTTGTATATTGGCTACAGGGTCTGAGAAAATTGCAGCAACAGAACCAGTTGGTGAATGCTCCTTACCTATTACACCAACTGAAGATAGAACTGATGTGAGTAGTTCATGATTTTTGTTTTATGTTTGTTGCATTATACTTGTACATTTGGGCTCAGTTTGATATAGCACAGTACTCTGTTGTCAGTAGCAACACTATTTACATAGCAAGTGGTTTATACATTTATTGATCAGGGCACATGATGCCTTTTAATCTTCCAAAAATAGTAAATTCTGGCCAATGCGCATACCAACCTTTTTGATACATTGTGCACTAAGCTGTTGTCCCTAGCTGCTCCTATTAACACAATACATGATCACTTATGTTTCCTCTGCCTGTATTTTACTTTTCTCAGTTTGTAGTATAAAATCTACTTGCCTCTGTTTGTTGAAAATGTGGATGTGAATTCAGAAAAAAATCATTATTCATTGACATGTGTCCTCAAAACCTTTTTCTGTAGTTTGTTTCACAAGTATTATTTTTTTATTTATCAGTGCATTTTTGTTGTCCTAAGGGTATTACTGAGCCCGTGGACCTTGCAAAGAACAATGGGAGTGCACCCCAAGAATACCAAGTTGCATCTGAAATTCTCCCCGGTAAAATCTCCTTATCCAGTTGTCCTTGACTCCTCACCCTGGTTATCTCATGATATGCTACCCAGTTTAACCATGTATAATGATTATAGATTTTTTTTTTGCGGGAAATGATTATAGAATTTGTGAATATCATGTTCTAAAATATTCTATTGTGGTACATGTGCAGATAAAGTTGCAGAGGGTAACGATGTGTCTTCCACAGGGTCAGTTTTTGCATAAGAAAATTCTTACTGTTTAATTCAGTTTTTGCTGCAATTGCACCATCATTTACAAGTTTATGTTGCGGTTAATTAAATGTCACCAGCACCATCTGTTATAAGCTTACTGATTAAGTAATATATGTCGAGCTGTAAATTCCACCTACAGTTACATTAGCCTGAACTTATTTGAGAAACTGATTTTGTACTTTGGTTCTGCATAGATGTTTCTCTATGTAAGATCTAATTCCAACTTTGAAGTTTAAACATATAATAACTTTTCGCAAAAGTTGTGTAATTAACCTAAATAATTATGCTTATGTGATTACATGGTCAATGTCACTATCAGTCACGTATTGTATCACTCTTTTACTGTTCTTCATATTGGAAAGTTTTGCACCCGTGAAGTCATGTAATCCCAGTTCCATGGTATTGATAGCATTAGATAATCATATCTTTGTTCTGGATTATTTATACCTGTGTTATTTTTGTTTATCTACCGTAAACTAACAGTGTCATTTATTCCTTGAATTTCTCATGTTTCGTGTCTCAGAATTACTAAGGATACTACTGGCCATAGTGGAGATGTTAAAGCTCCCACTTCAGAACCACATATAGGGGAAACACATGTCAACTCAGCTTCAGGTATTTAGGGATATTCCTTGCTTACACAATCACACAAATCTTGATTCTAGTTTGTCTTTTACTCCACTCATTTTTTTTGTGGGGTTAAATCAGCTTGGTTTTGCTCGCATCAGATTTTCTCTAATGAACTGATCACTGATGTATGTAGAGAAGTTTCTGAGCTTCAGCAATTTTTGAGCCAGATCAGACCAACTTTTTTTTTGTTCTAATAATGGTCACAATCACTGAGTTGCATTAGGTTTTGCAAAGGCAAAGGCCAGACATAACTAGCTAAATATCAACCTTAACCATTTGTGTAGCCATTGCTAGCATTTGGTTGGTTTAGCTGTACTTAGGAGTATCATTCATTAGTTAGATGATTTGTAACTTACTCATCAGCCACCCACAATTAGCCAAATTAGCCTGCTGGTTGTCGAGCTGCAATAACTTTTATTGGCTGGAAGTCCAGTAGTCTACTTAGATTATCCAGTTGAGAGCAGGGAACCATTGGCCATGGACAACCTTGCCTGCAAAGCTCAGGAAAGGCATAATTGCTGTTGCTAGCCAGTAAATCCTGGCTTTAGTTGGAATGTCACTACACACACATGCTTGGGGCGACTTATGTTGAAAAAAAAAAATACAACTCCTGGTTCCAGGTTTATATGGGTTTTACAACCATTGTGAGGTTGGTTGATAAAAAAAACATTGAGGCATTATGCTTCTTGAGGTTCAGTGAAAGGTAGTTCTTTTTATGATGTGTGGTTATACCGCTGTAGCCTGCTGCCTGTAGGTACAACGAATTTGTTAGATATCCCAAATGCTTCTGGAGGCTGCTTGTTTTTGTTAATTAAAGAGTGCCATCTTTTGGTATGAATTCTGAAAGTGCTACAGCAGAAGCAGAATCCAAGCAATTGTTTATCTTAGTAAATCTCTACTATATTTTGGAAGAGGGGGTACTGTGCTTATAATGGCTTACTGGTTTTATGCAAATTTTTCCAGAATCCATACCAAATGATGCAGGTTCCCCAACCCAGACCAAAATGAATGGGTCGACCAAGAAAACATTAGTCAACGGGTAACCACAAATTTGCAGATTCTATTTTTTTCTCTCGCCTTTTTTGTTTGGAATTTGCATTTATGTAACTAAGTTCCCTTGGCAATGCAGTCTTCTGGATCAATCAAATGGCAACTCAGGGCTAGAATCTTCAGGAAATGATAATCCTAGCTACACTAACTCGAGCAGTGCTATGCCACCCGCCAGTACCGAATTAATCGAGTCTGCAGCTCCTGCTACAGATGTTGATTCTGTTAAGAATGGCCCAAGTAAAAAACCAGAACAACCGGCTAAGCGAGCCTTGAGATCATCCAATGTTCCACGAGGACGGAAAAGGGTGTTGCGAAGCACGGCAAGAGGAAGAGCGACGTAGGGGCATTGCTGCACTATATTGTTGTATACTAATATTAACGGCCCAAAAGGGCAACATGATACCTAGGTTAATTAGAGCTAGCGCCAACTGGTCGTTTCCACAGTACGGTGCATTGTGCATCAACCTGTATCCATGTTGTATTATCGTAGGCCTTATAATGACCACGTGTACTGGTTAGAGTTGATCATTAGGACCAGTAGCTGTTTGATTTGTGTTTCAATATCTAGCTTTGGTGAGTCTGTGGGTAAGGGGAGAGACAGTTTGTTGGTTTTATTGCAGCAGACAACTAGCATGTGTTCTAGCCATCAGGTATGTGCACTGTGTAGTGAATCCAGCGACAGAGCTGTTCCTCTCTGTATTGTGGACGCTGGTATTTCAGGCGATGTAATCATGTAACCCTTGTTTTGTGCTATTGGGCCTTTCTATGTTTGTGCTTACATGAGCTGCTTGCATTTTTTTTTAAGATAATAAGCTGACGAGTTTTTTCTGTGCTTCAAGCAGTGCAGGCTGTCGCACCACCACGATGGTTTCTGATACGTGACCACTGACGCATGCCATGTTCATAGGAGGGGTGGGGGCTCGGCTTCGCATGCACAATCCAGGTGCAGGTTGTTGTGTAGCAAGCAACTTGTGTGTATGGGCCAAACAGTGGCCTCGGATCGTGCTCTGATACGGCGAAACGGATCGCTCCTGAAGGTTCGTTCGTGACGTCCCGTTAACTGCCCGCCTTGACTGTTCACACGATCAAACACTGTGCTCACTGGGATGCCTGCGTGTCTCTGAAGTCGCAATGCCTGTCGTCGTGGCCACTAGTATTGTGTCGTGTGGTCGATGCCGATCCTATTCCTGTTCCTATTCCTATCGATGGAAGACGTGACTCATGCTCGAGAGAAAATGCACATCCACCACCATCCACCAGAATGGAAACGCGTCTGGTTCTCGCAGGAAGTGGCATCCGATCGATGCATCGATCGACCGCGCGTCACGTCATGTCAATGCATGAACCACAACTCTCGCAGATTTGCGATGGAATGGAAAAAGAGAGAGAAAGGAGGCAGAGCTCGGGTACCAAACGAGGTAGACGACAAGGGCGAGAACAAGCCTCACATCATCAACCAAATCAAGAGGCCTTATCCCGAAAGATCCTTTGGTCCCCTTCCCGCTCTGTACAAGGCTCGCTCAATCCCAATCCCCAGTCCCAGCCCAGGAACAGGAACAGGAACGGGCCCCGGCCGGGCAAACGCAACTCGCGTTCCATCCCTCCGGCTCCGGGTCGGGTCCCACCTAACGGACGGCTAATGTGCCTGCCGACCAAAACAAACAAACGCTATAGCTAGCTCGTCAGTCACCGAATCGCCGAGCTCGAGCAGGCGGCGGCGGCGGCGCTTGAGGAGGCGGACGGCGGGTGGTGCTGTATCTCCACGGGGCCGTAGTAGGTGAGCTCCCTGATCATCTCCTCGATGTACTCCTCGCCGCCGTCGGCGTCGGGGTCGGCTTTCACGGCGGCCTCCTCGTCCTCGTCGTCCCGCCGGCGGGCGCCGCGGCTACTACTGCCGTCCCCACCCGTCCGCGCCACGTCCGCGCCGTGCTGCGGCTCTTGCGCCGGCACCGTGCAGCATTTCTCCAGCTTCGCGCGCAGCGTCGGGGAGAGGGTGCCGCCGCCGCCGCTGACGCTCAGGGGGAAGTTGGTGCGCGCCACGGGGCCGCTCATCAGCCGCGCCGCCTCGTCGTACGCCCGCGCCGCGTCCTCCGCCGTCTCGTACGTGCCCAGCCAGATCCTCGTCTTCCTGCACCGTCGCCACAGACGACGCAGCAATAACACAAACAAAAGGCGCGTTCAGACTTCAGACGCATGCATACGGCCTTAGAAGGAACGAGGAGAAAACTGCACCAGCTAGCAGAGGAGCCTAGCCTACTACAAAAGTTTCGACAGGAAAGAAAGCTAGTACTCCCTATATATGTATCTCTGAACGACATGCATGACATGAGTGACCAAGAACTTTACAGGAGTGGGTGGCGGATCTCGGAGACCCAGGAGCCCCAGTGCCTCTGCCTCACTCCTCTGAACCTCTGCATCTTCTGCATGGCGATGGCCACTCTCTGCTTTGCTGTCTCCCTAGTGCCCGATCGATGCTCTCTTTCCTGGTGCTGGTGGACACTCCCACAGTCCCACTTGATAGCAAGAGATGCTTCAGGTGCCGGCCGCTTATATACTGCGCCGCGCACAAGGGACCGGCCGGGTCAGGGTGGGCTGCGAGTATATATCCAAGAGATAGATAGATGCTAGCTACTGCTTGTGCTGCAGCTTAGCCATATAGATAGATGAGATGAGATCACAATCACATACTAGCTAGAAGATGTACGCAGCTCCTGTTGGAGATGGATGCTGCTCAATATGGCTACTTGCTTAGTACCATCTTGGAGCCATTTGGCATTGATCATCACCCACGGTATACAAAACAAAGTACCAAGTGTACAAACACAGGGTGACGAGGACGACAGCACACTGCACACGCTAGCTAGCTCGTTCCTGCAGATAGATGGAGCAAAGTCAGCTTTGCAGCTCGCAGAGACACGGCCTGCACGGGGACCCGCACACGCCCGGTCTTGGTGCATGCACAGTTGCCGAACACTGGCAGTCGCTGTGACCCTTTGCCAAGTCGGAACACCTGAACGGCCATTGGCCCTGGGACGACGACAGAACCGCAGAGCTACAGAGGTGTAGTACTGTAGTGTCAAGTACACGCGTCGGCAGGACGTAGAGGTGCAGAGAGATCCCTGTTCCGTGGGCTGGAACTTGGAAATGAGCCGAACGTGCCAGCGACTGGCAGCTTTGGTTTACTATCGCATATGGGGTATAGCCTGGAATGTGGAGTCTCTGCCTGGAATGGGTGGCGCCAACGGGCAATGGCCCCTACACCAGTTCGTGCATTCTTAGCCCGGTTTTAAACAGCGGGCTATAGCAACACTGGCTATAGCTGCGGGAGAGAGACCATGCTAAGTTACTGTCACTTTTGCCGCTATGTCAACTATAACCGCTATATTGACACTATAGCGCCGCTAAACTGCTTAGCTGTAGCTTTAAAATAGCGCCGCTATTTCAATTTCAGCTATAATAGTGACAATCTAATTATTACCTACTTATATTTTGTTTTAAAGTTGGTATTTAGCAAAATTGAACGCTTGAGTTCCATGAATCATGCTCTAATATCATATTAAGTATTGTTTCCTATATTCCTAGAACCTTGAAAAGATATCTGTGTTCATCAAATTTCATGATTGTCATGTTTTTATGAATCAATTACTCATATTTTTTTATGATTTTCTTATAAACCGCTATCTGGCATAGCTCCACTATAGCGGCGCTATAGCTGCATAGCCTCTAAAAAAAAAGATGCCGCTATTTGCTATAGCCCGTTATTTAAAACTATGATTCTTAGCCTGTATTAGTTGCATGTAGACGAAGACCATTGTACGTGTTCCACTACACTTCCACAAGCCATCCATGTTCTGGACAAAAACAGAATTCCTCAGCAATGAAGCAAAGCAACACATTATCATGAACAGTCATGGAGATGTGACAACCCTGATCGACATTCCAGAAACCCCGTCAAACATGGGACTCATAGTAGTGCTCCAAAATTTGCTCAAAGACGTAACAAAAGGCTATGTTGCATTAATTGGCATTTGCTGCTTAACACTGTAAATCCGTGGATATTAGTTGTTGGAAGACACTATCTAGCAGCAAAGGTGTATCTTTTTCCGCTAGATAGGAGTACTAGATAGCATATTCCAACAAATATGTGAACATGATAGCGTCCGGCGGCAAATACCGAATTTTTGTCCCTCTAGCTAGCTATAAGGCGTATTTGGTCCAACTGGATTATAGATAATAACGAAATAAAATAATCTAAAGGTGATCCAAACATCTCAGATTATGGATTGAATTATAACAATACTACTACCAAATTATTGTAATCCTATGACCCATCTCTAATTAAACTTGCTTTTTAAGCTTATATAAGTCAATCGTATTACAACTAACAATAATCCACCTCTATAATCGTAACGGTCAATATTATTTAATATAGTTCGTAATCTAGGTTATTATAATCTCATCTATAATCTAGAGTAATATATAATCCAATCAGGATCCAAATTGTAAGCTTGGGGTTTCCAGTAGTCCTAGAAAAATAAGGTCTTCACCAATGCAAGCATACACCAATATTAGCTTAGAGCAGCTCCAATATACATGCCTCAAAACCGAATCATGCGCTAAGCTAGATGTTCGATTGCCGAACAGAATACATCGCAGGCATCGAACCATCATGGGATGTCGAAGCAAAATCGACTATTGTTTTCGTTTCGAACCATTGGCAGTGAAAAAATGAAGTGCAACTCCCAAGCCATTTGCACATGCAGCCGAAACAAGGCAACTGTGTATTTTTAAATTGTTTCATGGGACCCATTAACGGATGCTTACACTGAAGGATCGAACCATCCGCAAGATCGATTTTCAACAAACCTGTGCCAGCCTCGGTTTGATGCTAGGACTAGAGCTGCCCTTAGAACAAAAGTTGGCGTGACATGTGGGTACAGGATTACAGAACCACCACTTTTTCAACCAGAGCTAATACACTTTCTTTTTACTCATTGTGGCCCCCCTTTTCTCTCACACGTTTTAATTGCTCTATTTCTCCTCTCCCACACATACATATCATTTTCTCTCTCCCAAAGCAATTGTAGACTATGCAAAGTACTCTAAAAGCTACGATGCATATGGTTTTACGATAATGCTCCTGTACGGTTCGTCCGTCCGGACGGACCTCGCCCGAGTCGCCTGCTCTGGAACGGACTCTGCTCGCACTGCGCCCCGTCCCCATATGGCCCAATAGTCGTAGCCTCTTGCCCGCTTGGGAACGGACCCTCCTATCTCCACTCTTCACAAAAAAATCACCGCTGCGAGCGCCATGACGTCCTCCCCTCCCCTCTCCCCATGGATCCAGCGGCACCCCTCCTCCATGTGCGTCTTCCCTCAAGTTTGGTGGCCTCCATGGCGTCGCCTCCCCCAACTTCATGGCGGCCGTGACCCTCCCCCGTGTCCCTCCGGATCTGGTCGGCGGGCTCAAGCAAGCCGCTGACCCTCCCCTACACTGGCCGGTGGCGCCCTCCCCAGATCTGGCAGCGTCTCCTCTCCCTCGGCCGACGGTGGGCAATGGCGGGGGTGTGTGGGCGCGCACCATCTAGCGGGCCTGCATCACCGCAGTTGCCCACCAAGTAGGTCATGGCCGCGCGGCGATGATGTGTTTCAAGTGTTTCTGGACGCTTTTCAGACATGTTGCAAGCCCATATTTTCAGTGTTTCAGTTGTTTCAGATGTATGTTTCAATTGTTTCATGCGGATATTGCAAAAGTAGATCGGGATGTTGCATATGTTGCAATGGTTGTATACGTATGTTGCAAGCGTCTATCCCCAATGTTTCATCTGTTTTTGTACACGCAAGTGTTCCATCTGTCTTCTTTTGTACGTTGCAAGTGTTGCATCTTGATGTTTTAAAAGTAAATCGGGATGTTGCACGTGTTGCAATGGTGTTTCAACTGTATGTTTAAAATGTTTCATCTATTTAAGACGTATGTTGCAAATGTTTCATCTGGATATTGTAAAAGTAGATCGGGTTGTTGCACAGCGCGGCCGGTGGCTGTCGCTGTTGCTGGGGTGCAGCTGTGGGTCCCATGTGGGTTTCCCCGTGCGGGGCGCGGGGTGGGCGCAAGTCTCTGCAACGGACGCGGGCGTGGGTGCTGGGCGGGACGCGGGACGTGGGGCGTGGGGCAAGATGCGGATGCGGAAGCTGGGTAGGTGTCAGAGCCACGTCGGCCGGACATCCGTCCGGACGTGCGGACGCTGGCCCTTCCGATGGTTTTAGCGTACCATTACATCCGAACCTAGATGGCAAGCCAGGGCTACGTGATGACTCACCGTGTTGAGACTGCCCTTAATGATTACACGCACGGAAACCGTTACGTGCAACTAGGTCTTCCTAGTTCTGATTCTGAACAACCCACTCACCGAGCAATTCAACACAAAATCCGACACGTGACGATAAGCAGCATGCACGTCGCCAACGATGTCGTGCCACGATCTGCGCCTAGCCGTGCCGCGATCGGACGGTCGCCATCGTGCCACGCGTGTCGACACGGGACGCATTGGCGTCGCGGGGCAACGGGCCCCGGGCGCCGTGTGGGGCGCAGCCGTCCTCGGCGTCCACTCCCATCTCCCCCAGGTGAAAAGCCGCCTGGGCGCGTTGCATGCCGAGTTGGCGAGTGGTGTGTGGACCGTGTGGGTCGGCCCGCTGGAGTAGACCGGCAACAACGCACGGCAGGGGAACGTGTTGGCGGCCGGGGCCACGGGCCACGCCGCGGTCTCCATGGGGTGTCGGGGCCGCGGGGGGAAAACGCGGCGGGGCCGCTCTCGCCAGTCGCCACCCACCACCACAGCGCCATCGTCGCGGAACGGCGCAAGTGCAGTGAACGAACCACGGCCGTGGATTTTGTTCGCACAGCAGAAACGCGCGCGCGCGGCCCCCGCGGTCGCGGATAAAAGCTCGATCAATCAGCCGGCTCGCCGTCCGTCCGCCCGGCCGGACATGTTCGATCAATGTGTGCATGGACGTACGTAGCTGAGAGCTAGCAGGTCGTACGCTCTGGCGAGCAAAGCGTACAGAGGATGTACACATGGGAGATCGATGAGCCCTCGTCAGCTCGTGCTAGCTAGCAGGCACGGTCAGACGAACCCATTTGCGAACGTACATTTGTCCACGTTTTTCGCGGACATGGAGGCAGTCATGCATCCCTAGCTGATGCCCGTGCCCCTTAGGCAGTCTCAGTGGGGATTTCATCTCCCAATTTTTAAGACACCCATATTTTAAAAACAGTGCAGAAGAGTTTCATCCCCATGAAACTCTCTCTACTCCCATAAAATGTTTATCTTCTCTCTCTTCATAAAGACAGTGCCATGTCAGCGTATTTAATGTCCATAAAACTCTATGAAATCCCCATTAAGACTGGCCTTATCTCGTTCTCGTGTCG